ATGACGGTGGAAACATGAATTTAGAAAAAGAAATAACCTTATTCACACTGTTTCAAGCAATTAATTCGTTACCTAATCATTTAATTAATGAAGCATACGATAACGTTTATAACTTCTGCAATTTAACTGAAAATGCAAAAAGTAATTTTGAAAAAGCACGTAGTAGATATGCACATTTAATGACTTCTCCATTTGTTTTAGTGAAGATTCTAAAACTATACCAAAAGGAATATTATGATGAATATGTTTTACCTTTATTACGTAAGCCAAAAATAACATTTGATATAAAACTTGATGACTCGTTTTTGATAACGGATATTAGACGCAGGGCTGAAAATCATCAGTATAAAAACAGTTCTGAAGTAATTGAGGATTTATCACGTGTAATCCGTTTTGTAGATTATGGAAACAAATACTTCATTCAGAAAGATTACAACATACACGACAAAATGAATCAAATATCATTCGTTCTTCAATCAAACATGAAAGAGTCACTTAAAATGATTAAATTATTTAAAGAAGAAGGTAAAACCATAACAGCATGGGACATACTATTAAATCAATTGTCTTCATTAACCGTTAAGGGTGTTTGCTTTAAATCTGATTCCCCAGATGTTTTCTCAACGTTTCAGGGTTATAAATACAACGTTCTCGAAAAGCTTGATTACTCAAAAATTGAGATGTTTATGAATTTCATTAAAGAAGCCATTTGTGATAATAACGATGAAGTGTATAAATACCTACTCGGCTGGATTGCATCAATGATTCAACATCCTGGAATCAAGAATGAAACAGCAATTATTTTGAAAGGACTTCAGGGAACAGGTAAAAACAGATTTACAGACATTATTTCTGAACTTCTCGCCGGTTATTCATGTAAAAACATTACTGAAATAGGTGAGCTAACGGGTAATTTCAATTCAGTAGTTGAGAATAAAATGTTTCTTGTACTTAATGAACTCAAGAATGTAGGTGAAGATAGACTCGCAAACTTCAACGCTTTGAAATCAATTATTACGGATAATGAGATTAGAATTAATGAAAAGAATCAACCCAGAAGAACTGCTCAGAACGTTGCAAACTTCATTTTCGTAACTAATAACGTTTACCCTGTCAAAATTGAAGTTGGAGACAGAAGATACGTAGTTTTAAGAGTTAATGGTAAATTCAAGGGTCAATTTGATTACTTCAAGAATTTGATGAATTCATGCACAAAGGAATTTTATGATAATTTACTGACGTATTTTATGCAATATGACCTTTCATCATTTAATGTACGAATCATTCCGATGACTGAAGCCAAACAAGATTTAATTGAATTATCAACAAATCCTTTAGATGTATGGATAAATACACATTATGATGAATTGTGTGCGGGTATGACGTGTGAAAATGCTCTATTCTGCAAACCATCAGACATGAAAGACAAGAATTTCCAAATGAGTATTAAGGATAAATGTGATAGGAAACATAGAAGAATAGACGGTAAACAAACATGGTGTTATGTTTTGAAAGAAGAAATGAAAGGATTATATAAACAGGTTGAACCAAACGATAATGAGGATTCATTTACTGACGATGAAATATCTGTAAATGAGGCAGTATAAAGTATGATTTGAATTTATTTTTGCCTTCCTCCTGTGTTGTTGTCAAAATGTCATGTTGTCACACTTTTTCAGAGAAGTTAAATGACCTGGTAGCACATGGTAACATGGTAGCACCTTCAGTTCTTCAAAAATAATTCATAACTGCCTTCCTCCTGTGTTGTTGTCAAAATGTCATGTTGTCACACTTTTTCAGAGAAGTTAAATGACCTGGTAGCACATGGTAACATGGTAGCACCTTCAGTTCTTCAAAAATAATTCATAACTGCCTTCCTCCTGTGTTGTTGTCAAAATGTCATGTTGTCACACTTTTTCAGAGAAGTTAAATGACCTGTAGCACATGGTAACATGGTAGCACCTTCAGTTCTTCAAAAATAATTCATAACTGCCTTCCTCCTGTGTTGTTGTCAAAATGTCATGTTGTCACACTTTTTCAGAGAAGTTAAATGACCTGGTAGCACATGGTAACATAGTAGCACCTTCAGTTCTTCAAAAATAATTCATAACTGCCTTCCTCCTGTGTTGTTGTCAAAATGTCATGTTGTCACACTTTTTCAGAGAAGTTAAATGACCTGGTAGCACATGGTAACATGGTAGCACCTTCAGTTCTTCAAAAATAATTCATTATTGAATAACCTAAAACCATTAACGATAAAATAACTGATGACAAATTTTTATTTTTATCATAAATGGATACCCCACAAGCTCAAAATTTACCACGAATCATAACAAGGGAGGAAATGATAAAAATGATGCAAGAACATGTTAAAAATAACAAACCACTAAAACTGAGAAAATGCGGTTATGCAGTAATGATGGAAAGAGAGATGTTGTCAAAGAGGAATAAAAATTAAATTTGGATTGAGTTTAAAATTCATCTTTATTAAATTCATCTCTTCCAATCAATTTATTTATTCTATTAAATTCTTTTATTTTTGCTTCACCAGTTTAAGGATTGAACGAAGTTTCTAATTTTCGATTATTTCTTCATCGTTTTCAGTTCCATTAGTTTTATGGGCATCAACCCCACCACATTGCGGCTTCTTTTTGTAATAGCATATTTTTGATTTAATTCTGTTTAGTTTCTTTTTATTATTCATCGTCTGGACTCTTGACTGCTTTGTTGTCACTCATTTCTTACGAAATAAAAAAATTAAATATTATTTAAATATAATGGGGTAATAAAATAAATCGGAATTTCTATTAATTTATTGTCAACTTCAACTAATGCATTGCCGTTAATATATCTAACAAATTCAGCTATTGTGTCAAATCTTCGTCTTCTTTTTGTCATTGATTTATCAGTTTTTCCATAATCGAGATGAATCAAAACTTTATCCCCTTGTTTAAAATTCATGAGCCCCGAATTAATTTGTTCACGTTTAACATCATTCAACCTTTCCATTTGCTTTCTAATATATTCCCATTCTTTTGAAATATCATTTTTCATTTCCACTGGTTTCATGTTTATAGTTCTATGCCATGTATTATTATAATAATATACTAACTGTTGTATGATGGAGTCATGATTTCCATCCCAGTATATCTGACCGTTAACCCCTAACGCATCTCTAAGAGTTCTCATTACCGCATCAACTATTTTATTATGAAACGTATATGGAGAGGATGAAAAGAAAAAATTAATTTGTGGGAAATAATGAGTCATAGTTGCCTGAAATCCTTTATCACCATCACCCCTGATATTATCTACTCTTTCATGATCTAGTAAGTATTGTATAGCTCTTCTTGTTTCCTGTTCTGTTTTCCCTTTCACCGGAATGCAATATAAATATCTAGTGTTAATGTTAATGGCAAATAAATAAGTAACTTTTCCTTTTGAATATTCCAGATGATCGATTTCGTATGAATATGGATATGGAGCAAATGAAGGGCGACTAAATTTTTCCTTTAACGGTTGAATTTTCGGGTCAGTTGGTTTATTTAATATCTTGAAACCCTTTTTAAAATCTTTTTGCTTCTTTAATGTTTGAAATGGATATAATAAAGTGAATGATGAAGGATTAACTGAAGGAGGAGGCGGTACTGTCGTTGGAGGTTTTGGTGTTGCAAGTGGTTTAATTTTATCTGCTTTGATTTTGGATTTCATTCCTTCCTTCATTAATTCTGGATGTATTCTATTCATTTGTTTTAAATATGCTGTATATAAAGGTTTGATATACTTTCCCGCTTCGAGTTTATGTTGAAGGATGAATTCCAAAAGTTGATCTTCATTTAAAAGTCGGGCTGAATATGATTTAACTAATGAATCATAAATTAAAGCTTGTGCTTCATTTATGGTCTGAAGAACCTGGGCGTTTTGCACCTTTTGTTTTTGTTCCTTTGGCTTTTGCGGCTCAGGATTATATAATTTATATAATTCATCAATATCTTCTCTGTTAATACTTTATTTTTGAAATCTTTCAACTGTTTAAGTTGTGATTTAGTTTTTCCCTTTGAATATTCATTATTTTTAATTTTGTCTTTAATTTCAGAAATTATTTTATCATGATATTTCAAAATTTCATTTTTATAATATGGATAATAATATTCCATATCATCACCCGTTATATTGTTATCATGTTTTTGGAGATATGATTTTAATTCATAATAACTAAGAAAATTTTGATTAAGTACTAAATCATCAATTAAAATTTTTAAATTTACATTATCCATTTATATAAAAATAAAATAAATGTTTTAAGGGTGCCCACCTCTTTGAATCATAGTATCAAAACCATTATTAACGGTTCCTTTTGTCTCTTCTGTGGCATTTCATTAAAAATAAAATTTTAAATAAATGGCATACAACATCCATTTTCACAACATACAGCCTTAGTGTGTGCTCCTGTTAATGCAGTCTTACCGATTGTTAAGCGAGTCATTGACCCGTTTTTAAGTTGTAAATTAATATTCTGACCATCAAATATCACTTTATCATTTATTATATCCAAATATTTTTAGGTGTTAATTGTTTATTTTGTCTTAAACTAACACCTTCATTTTTTGTGCAATCTTTTTAAAATCACTTCCATCAATTGAACCGTTGAATGATGTATAACACTTAGGACATAAGCAACCATGTTATCACCTTGTTTCTCAATTGCTAAACCCAATAACTTCTTCTCATGTGCTTTTTCTTCAGCTTTATTCTTTAATTTAGGTTTAAATTTCTCATCAAAACAGAAGAAATCAAATGGTGCGAATTTGAAAATGTTTTTATCATAAAATTGTTTATCGGTTACAATTGCTTGAAATGCTTGAGTGTTAGGAAGATTTGGGTCGCCAGCGATTGCCCAATAAGATGAATCAGTATCACCTTCAATGAAATGAAAACGATTAACATTCATGCATTTATACATAAAATCATAAATGAAAACTAAATACCAGTATTTAGCATTATCTAAAGTGAAGAATGCCTCTTGTAAACATGTATCACATCTATAAAATCTATCTTTGAGCATCACTTGATATGTATCTTCACCTATTTCTCTTATGTTTTTAAACTTATTTGACATACATGCAACGCGTGCCTTCTGTGCATTCATTATTTTAGTCTTTGCGTAATTTTGTGTATTCATTGCATCGTAACCATATGATCCATTAAGTGAAATCTTGCAAAATAAACTTTTTCCTTTATTTCCTTCTAATTCAGCCTTTTGTCTTTCGTTCATAAATTTGTTCGCAAATTCATTAAAACAAGTGTTTTTAGTAAATGTTAAAATTGATTGAATGTCATCGATGATAAAATGAAATCTGTCTATTAGATACCAAAGATAATAAGAAGAAAATGGTTGATATTGGTTGTGTGTTGATGCTAACTGAGTTAATTTTCTCTGTTTCTGGTCAACTGGTAGATTGTTTGATTTCATGTAATTATACATAAAACTGCCAATTGTTTTTTCATCTGTGATAATATCTAAGTTTCTTATTATCGGTAAAAAGTTTATGTAATCATTAATGTATTTTTCATCAATGTGACCCTTTACTTCAGCCACGAATAAAGTATTTTTCTTCTTAATTATTCCCAGTGCTTTTGCTTTCTTTGTTGCTGTATCACAAATGATAACACCATTCAATCTTCCCGGCATATACATTTTATGGTCAGTATATTGAATGAAATCATGAGGATTAGATGAAAATGATGAAGGATATAATGAATTAAAGTCAACTCCAACGAAATGAGTCATAATGTTGGTGGTGTCCTCATTTGATACAGTTTTAGTTTCTGGATTATATGAAAGTTTATTAATGTGCGTGATTCCTTTAAGATTTACTCTATGTTGAACATTTGATAAACCACCAGTAATTCCATTACGGAGAATGTGATAAGCTTCAACTGAATCTAAAGTCATTGGTAAATTATTTTTTAATGCATAATTTCTTAAATTGATTCTTAAACGTTGAACATCTTCATCTTTATTTGATTTTACGACATTGCAATAACAACACATTAACTGACAATTTTCTTTGGTATGTGGTTTTTCATTATCGATTCTATCTAATGTTGGTTTATTTGCATATGTAAACGCTTTACCACACATTTTGCATTTAGATGAAAGGATTAAATCGTGATAGTATTGAAAATCATCCATTGAAACATTATTTTTACTATCCCTTTCTGCTTTTTCATCTTGTTTCTTATATGATTCAATTTTATATTTCCAATACTTTTTCGTTAATTCAAAACTTGATTCTATCTCTTCCTCAGGATATTTTTCATTAGGATTAAAGTCTTTATATGCTAAAGCGTAACGAATCATTGAAGCATTCGATGATAAAGAAAGATTATGAAGCATATCAATTTTATAAACAAATGTTTCTTCAATAATTTTATCAATTGGGTCAATCATAATTTCAACATCTTTATTGCAATAATGAATAAAATATTCTAATCTATTCTTAAAGTTTTTAGCATCATTGAGATATATTTGATAATCACTATCTGATATAGTTTCTTGAGTTAATGCTGAATAAAATGAATCTTGAGTGAATGGTTCCTCTTTATATAATTCTTCTTCGGAATTCTCCCATGTGATAAATTGATAAGGGAAAAAGGATTTAACACGTGATTTATTGTTTCCGAAATCTTGAGTGAATTGGTCTAATGTCCCACCCGCTATATAATTTCTGATGTCAATAAATCTCAATTCATATGGAACGTTTGTTTTCTTTACAATGATTTGCTTAAATTGAGAAGAGAACCCAGCATTGATTTTATTTTCCATTTTGCAGTGTTTAAATCACGAAGAATTAAATTTAAATCAAACTTTCCCGAATTAAAACCTATGATATTCACTTTATTGAATTCCTCATCTAGAAGTTCTTTAAATGCTTCCTTCTGTTTTTCATTTAATGTATGAGACAAAGTCCCCGCCGTTTGTCGTTTGTGACTTCATTAATTCTTCATATTGTTCAATATTTGATTTAGCAACTAATGAACAGGTTGAAAATAAAAACTCAATCCAATCAGAAATAAAAGAATCACTCGAAGTTAAGCAAAAATTCCTCGTATATGTTTTATCATTTAATTTAACCGTTGATGATACCATGAATGGTTTTAAGTAAGCGTTCAAAGTTGCACACTCAGAAAGTTGTAATTCTTCTTTAGTCTCTAATGTTTCGAAGTCAAAAGTAATATAATATCTTGTCGGTTTATAATATTCCTGCAAATTATGAGCTAATAACCACTGATATATCTTCTGTTTCGTAATATGTGGTGCATATGGTTGTTGGTCTTTTGCAATTGAACGTCTTGAATTAATCTCCATTATTTTCTTTACATTTCTCACAATGCTTTAAAAATCTTCTTTGGTTTTTCCTTTCTGGATCATCACGGATAGAATAAACTTCTTCTTTACAAATGGACAAACTTTATAGCCGGTGAGTGCTTCAACGTCTGTTATTCTGTCAGCGTGAAGTTTTCCACATGGACTCTGTGTTAATAAAATATTTACTGTTTCAAATTCTGGATCTATCATTATTGATTCCACTAATGGAAAGTCTACCTTATTTATGTCCACGTCTTCTGGTTGAGGATCACAATAATAGAAATCAATATTAACATTTAACATTCTCGCTAATCTCTCACTTTCTGATGAAATGTCAAACCCTTCATAGGCATCTATTGCTTCATTTAAATAGCTTCTACGAGTTTTAGGATTAACACCATCAGGAATGTTATAGAAGCGTTTAAATAACCTTCTACCTTCTGCTCTAATTTGATTATCATTCATTTTAGCGGTTCCGTTTTTGTTCATTTATGTAAGAATAAAAAATAAATAAAAATAAAGTTTATTTTTAAAGTCCTAAAATGAATTAAGAACACATAAATTTTTATCATCTGCGACGTGACGAATACATTTTAATTTACTCAAGAATGCGTACCCTGATACATTAAATCTAATTCCTGTCTTATTTAATTTCACAACTTTGAAAAGGAATGTATGAATAGCTATAAAATGATGAGAAGATGTTTTATGGGTTGCTTCCATTTTTTCTGAAATAAATGAATAAATATAATGTTTATAAGTTTTCATATCTTTTATGTTCTTAATAACGAATGGTATAGACCTTTCAACTTCGTCTTCCTTCGGTGCTGTTCTTTCATATGAAACATTATTGGTATCTTCAATAATGAAACCACAATCACACAAAATTTTATATGTTCCAATGGTTTCTTTTGATATTTTATCTAATAAATCAAAAACTTTATCAACACCTGTGCATTTATTTAAATAATAATTTGTGTAAATATCATGATCTTCTTTCTTAATCGTATTAGTTGCATATGTCACGTTTTTAAGAGCTTTTTTGAATTTCTCAGAATCGAGAGGGGTGAAAGTAGGATACAGGGGTATTCTTCATTATCAATAAATTGTAACTTATGTTTACGAATAAATTTAGTACCTTCTTCTGAAAGTGTTTCGTCTATTTCATCATCTAATAAATTTTGTGTTGATTCTGAGACATAATTTTTATATCTTTCTTCATGAGATTTCTGAACTGCTGATTCTGAAGCTGGGATATTCATTAAACCCTCTACTTCATTTTCATTATATTTTTCAACTTCTCTTAATTCCTTAATTTTTTCATCTATTTCATCTCTTATTTTTTCCAGTTTTCAATTTCATTGTATTCATCATCATCTTTAATCCGTTCTTCATAATATTCAGGGAAAACATCAGGTTCTTTAGGTTTTTCTTCTTCAGATGTGGGATATAAGAAATTTATAACATCATCTTTATTCATTTTTCCATCATAATCTAAATCATTTAATAACTCGGCAAATTTTTGACAATTTCTTAAATAATATTTACTAACTTCATAACACATCTCATCTAATATATCCTTTATTTCCTCATTTGTGAATCCTAATTTTTTAACGTCGTTAGTCTTGACGCTCATTTCATACAAAATAAAAATAAATTATTCAAAAATGTAAGACATGAATTTTTAAAGTTTATTTTTTAAATTTTTTATTTTTTACTTCATTATGTAAAGGGTTTGTGAAAATTTCTTACGATTCTGAAAATTTTTAAATCATGATTTATTTCAAAACGTAAGAATAAAAAGCGTCAGAATCATACATTTATTTTATCGATTGTATGAAAATTACTTACAAAATCGGTCAATATTGTGTGAATTCTTACGTTTACAAAAAAAGTCACACAACCCATCATATTCTACTACTTTCACTTCATCTCATTAAATCATTTATTTTAATTACTTGAAATACTAAAGAATGCTTAAATTAAATAAAATGTATGTAAAAGATAGATAATAATTACTTTTGCCCATAAATTTTGAAATTTAAACTTTCAGAATAGTTAGTCAATTCCAATAATCATACAATAATATTTATTTCTATAAGATAACAACAAACAAAATAAAACAAAGTTTAATTACCTAAATGCTTCATATAAATTTGGATTAGACGATCAACATCGCATTTAGGAATATCAGCTTCACTGACCCAGACATAACTGGATTTTTTAGTGAGCTCATTAACAAATTTAACGAGAAATTTTCTGAGATATCTTCCTTCCGAAATTTCTGTTCCTTTAACAACATTTACTACATCATCAACTATCTGGTGAGGCGAAGTTATTGCAGGATCTTTTCTCCTCCTTGCTGTGTTTGGCCTCTTAAACGGAGGGTCAACGATTCCTCGAAAAGTTACATTTTTTTTGAAACTTCTGTCAATAAATTTTGATTTTCTCAAGGCTTCCCTACCGATATCTAGATATGTTGTGCGACTTGATGGAGCTACTTTCGAGTCATTCATGTCAGGAACCTCAAAAGTGTTGTGTTGGACTTCAATTTGTTTATTAATATTCTCATCAATACGTTTTGTGATAGTTCCTTCTTTCCATAAGCCTCTTCCATCCCAGAACAAAGCCAAAATGGGCATTTGAGATATCAAATCGCCCAATTGAACAAAAATTCTTCCATTATTTACAGAGATTGTGGTTCCTTCAGTCCATTCTCCGCTCAGTGGATGTGCGATACTAACCTTATCACCTTCTTCAGGAATTGGTCCATTAGGAATTGAAAAAGTGCAAAAGAATTCGTGATGAATTGATTCAATTGTATTTTCATGAGTTGTGAAGCCACAATTCTTTCTAAACTTAAAGTATATCTTTAAGTCATCGCATTGGCTTAATTGGACAGGACTACTTGAAACAGCTCTTGCAAGAAAAGCTGTAAGAATAAGACGAGGAGTTGATCCTGGAAAAGGGGGTCTACCACTAGCTAAATATCGCTTTAATTGTAGAGAATCGAATAAATCTTGTTGCTGTGGAGTTTCAATTTTGATATTATTAATTAATTTGATAATAACAAGAATGTGCTGCCAGTTTTCGTATTCTTGTATGGTCTGACTAACATCAAACCAGTAATCACTGCAAAAACATCGAGGAATTATTTCTATTGCTTCTCCTAGCCATTGGGCGCATAATAAACCAAGCAAAATTCCAAAGTGGGCAATGAATCTTCCTGGTTTAACGTTTACATCGTATTTTTCGCATAAAAATCTTAATCTTTCGTTTTGATTGAAATCTGTAGCTTGATATAATGTAGACATGTTCTTACACATGAACTGAATCTGTGGTGGTGTTTTAAAATCAATTGTAGAAACTTTATCAAAAATTGATTTTTCTGCAACAGTCATTTCAAGAGATCTTTCGCTATATTTTACTGGCCTTACTGATTCGAAGAAATTCTTGGAGTTCCTAAGATCAGTTGCCATCTTTCTAATATAATCCGAAACAAAAGTTCCATCAATTACCCAGGACCTTGAAATAATGGCAGGGATAATGAGAGGATTGTAATTGGGGTCGGATTGAAAAGGATTACCATATAATTTTAAATGAAATATCGTTGAAAATCTTAGAAAATATAAATCTGATATCTGTAAATTATTAAATCTAAGATCGAGGGTATTTAGACATCTAAAACATTGCAAGAACTGAGTAGAGTGAAGTTTATTTCTAGATAAATCTAATTCATATACTTGTTTTTTCCGTAGAAAATATGTTTCTGGGAGATCTTCAAGTGAATTATTCGCTAGAATAACATTTTCTGTATCTTCGGGGATACTCGCATTTAAAATTTCTTGTGGAGAATGTCCCCGAAGATCGAAAGTTTTCATATTGATGAATTTTTTTTTCTAACGGATTTTGTAATCATAGAACAACTGATACTAACTAATTGCTTGGAGTGTACATAATCAAAATATCTGATCAAATGATTCTCAATGCAAAAAAAGGTGAACAAATTATCGAAATTTGAATGATCTTCTCATTTAAGAATTTTGAACTAGCAGATAGATATCTTTCAATCAATTTATGGAAATGTATTGTGGGAATAAGATAAAGTCCAAGTCTCAACACAAAATATCTCCATTTTTTATATATATGCTTATTCTTCACATTAAGAATTCATACAATTCCAATAAACAATATATTGCTTGCGAGGATGCTCTAAAATTACACAAAAATATATGTATATTTTGAAGGATTGATTAGATTACTAAAAAGAACCAATCGCTTGACCAAATCAAGCTTAGATCCAGCGCCTGATATTGCCAGAATTATGGCATAAATATTTTTATTCTTTTGAGGCTCAAATTTGATATAATTTCAAGTATTCAAAATATTAGTCAAGAATTTGGAGTAGTCAATTTTTTTGACTAATTGAAAAATGAAAATAATTCCCCAAATAAATGTTTCGGCAAGCTAAAGAAATGAAATGAAGAGCATCAGTTGAACTATATCTTGAGATAAACATTTCAATCTATAAAGCAGTTCCATAAAGAGAATCTATGCTACCAAACAATGAGTTCATTTAGATAGCATCGATCACCACAGAATTTTCCAATTCAATTGAGCTGTATGACTGAAAATTTGGAAAGAAAAGCCCATAAAGAAATAAAACAAAAATGTCGAATTTAACTTATAAGATTGTGATGTCAACAGTTTATTCTAAAGCGGATTCATTGAAAGTCTTCTTAAATGGTTTGGCAATTCTTTTAATGAATCTCTTGAATTCCTTTAATTCGAGTGTACCACTTTTATCTTTATCAAAGTGATTGAATATTTTGACAATTTGTTTATCAGAGATGCAGTTTCCAAGGTCTTTGAACATCGATCTAAGTTCGTCAATATCTATTGAATTTGAATGATCCTTATCAAGCTTGAGGAATGCTAACGTTGCGACAAATTCGGGTAGTTTTGATATCTTTGGTAAGTTTAAAACAAGGAGTTTGAACTCTTCAAAAGTTAAAATACCATCTCCATCTTTATCTGATACGTACCAAATGAGTACCGAGAAGAATGATGGATTCCTTATTCCGAGTTCATTTAAAAAGTAACCCATTTCATCAAAATCAATGCTTCCACTATGATCTTTATCAACAAGGTCAAATAATTCCTTTAGCTGTTTAATAACTTCTGGGTTAGAAGCATCAGTTGATGACATCATAAAAATATTTTTTTTGAATAGTTCGTGGCCGATATGTTGGAATGAAGTCAAAATGGATCGAAACACAAAAGCAAACTATCAAAAAACCTCGAACATACAATCATTTCTCCAATTAGCCACTTAATCTTGCCTCGAAATTCAGATAATTGAATATTATTCTGAAATTCATATTCTGAAATTCATATTCTGAAATTGATAATGAGTGGGAATAGGCGTAAAGCAAAAATTGATATTTCATATGGTTTTATGATAGATAATGTAAAGTTTCATCTTCAAAATAGTAACTTATTTTCTTGAAAAAATTCTGCCGTATTTTCCAAAGTCGCAACATGATTATATGTCTTGAAAAGTTAAAGCATATGTGCTTCTCTACTCTTTATAACATCTATCCTGAATGAATCAGATCTTTTTAATTAATGCTTGATTTACATTATACATACAAATTCAATAATATTTTATACATTTTATAGATTTTTAATTTTATTTTTTTAATGGAAAATTTTCAAGATTATCTGGACTGTATTGAAAATGACTATAATTTAGTACTAGCACATTCAACAGATGATGTATTTACGAAGACTAATACAGGATGTGACTTATTGATTCACGAATTACTGTCGTTTTTACAAATTCGACCATTTTGCATAGTTTTGATTCATAATCTAATTGAGGAATTATACAGTAAGGCATCAGAAAGAAATTCATTCAATTTATTGCCAGAAAAGATAATCCATTATATTTTCAGAAAAATTAAAACATGCAAACAAGCTAATCTTCGCGAAATTATTCCATCTATAAGATTACTATCATATCTAACTAAAAGCAATCTGATTAACTCTGATTTAATCATATCAAATTTAAAAAACTACACTTTCAATGAGTTTCCAGGTGCTATTACAATCCTAAGATTCTTTCTAGCTCCAATAGTTACCAATTGCTCTCATAAACTCGATAATATACTCCAAATTAACGAAGATTTGACAATTTCAGAAAATCCAGAAATCTGGTGCTTATGGGTCAAATTCCATGATTTCCATCAAGATGATTGGGACACAATCATATCCAGCGCTACACATGGCTGCAACGACGACTCTTTAGAATATTTTTTGATGAAAGATGATTTAGAAAATTTTCAGAACATCACATCAGTAAAACCCGATTTTGATTTTAATCAGAAAGTGCAGCTCCCTGTTTTCTTCTACTTTCCGCTCCCAGAAAAGAAAGCTTCATTAATAGAAATCGCTGCTTTCTATGGATCAATAAATTGCTTTAAATTTTTGTATAATAACATAAAAATCGAAGGGAAAATAGGATTCTACAGTGTTATTGATTACGCAGTTGCAGGTGGCAATCTTGAAATCGTTAGAATCTGTATGCAGAATGGTTTAGAACCAGCAAATTCTCTTTCTTTCGCTATAAGCTTTAGAAGGAATAATATTTTTGAATTTTTACTTTCTAGTTATACAGACATTGATATTAACAAAGTAGCAATAGAATGTGCAGAAAAGAACTTTATTTATGGATTAAGATATTTGCAGGAATCAGATATAGATTATTCTCAAACTTTGCTTCCAATTTCGGCTATTAAAAATTGGAATTTTTATTTGCTGAAAACTTTGGAAATTCCATTTGATCAAATCTCATTGTCTGAGATTGTTAGAGCAAAATGCTTGTTTGCTATTGATTTGGCCCCTACTCATGGATATACTGAAGCTTTCTTCATCGCAATTGATAATATGGATTGGCAAATTATTGAAAAATTACTTCACTTTGATCAAAAAAATTTGAATGAAATTTTTGACTGCGAAACAATTCTCTATCATGCAGTCGAAACAAAGAATATTAGCTTAGTTAATATGCTTGCCAAAAATGGTGTTGATCCGAATATTATATCTCCAAAAACAAACATGACGGCTCTACAAAGAGCTGCTCAATTAACACAACAAATGACAAAAGCTGTGCTGAGAATCCCTGGATGTGATCCTTTTTTAGGAGATCCACAAAAATTGGCTTTTAATGCAGGTAATAAAAGCGCCGCATTTGCAATTAGAGATCATATAAAAAGAATGAAATCAAACGATTAATAATAAAAATAAATGCATTTTTTATAACTGTAATAAACAGAAATTCATCAAAAGTGACAGCTCTCAATTTTTTGACATTTGTAAATTCTAAATTGAATGAGAAAAATGAAATAATACTAAGCATAATACAATATTCTAGATTTAATTATAATTAGGAAAAAGTTAGTTTTGAGAGTACTTTTCATAGGCATATAGAATGAAATCTTCTGAAAAATAATATCACATAAACTCATATTATTTTCTAATATATAACTATTTTATATAAAAATCAAATTCAATGATCTTAAAAGCGAAGGATAGTAGTATATATAGCGGGGTGTGTGACCTTTTTTGTAAACGTAAGAATTCATACAATATTGAACGATTTTGTATCATTTTTTTTAACATATGAAGTAAAAATGTATGATTCTTACGGTTTTTATTCTTACGTTTTTGAATAAATCAAGATTTAAAAAATTTTCAAAATTGTAAGACATTTACACTCAGCCCAAACATAATGAAATAAAAGAAGCTATATATAGATGATGTCAGATATTCCGCGATTAATTAAACATTGTTTAAATCCTGAATGGAATCAATGGAGTCATAATCAAAGACCTCATAAACGAGTAAAAGATTCACTACCATAATGAAATAAAAAATAAACTTTAAAAATTCATGTCTTACATTTATGAAAATTTATTTTTATTTTGTATGAAATGAGTGTCAAGACTAACGACGTTAAAAAATTAGGATTCACAAACAGGGAAATAAAGGATATATTAGAGGAGGTAGGTTATGAGGTTGATAAATATTATTTAAGAAATTGTCAAAAATTCGCGGAGTTTTTAAATGAGTTTGATTATGATGGAAAAATGAATAAAGATGATGTTATAAATTTCTTATATCCCGCATCTAAAAAAGAAAAACCTAAAGAACCTGATGTTTTCCCTGAATATTATGAAGAACGAATTAAAGATGATGAATACGATGAAATTGAAAGACTGGAAAAAATAAGAGATGAAATAGATGAAAAAATTAAGGAATTAAGAGAAGTTGAAAAATATAATGAAAATGAAGTAGAGGGTTTAATGAATATCCCAGCTTCAGAATCAGCAGTTCAGAAATCTCATGAAGAAAGATATAAAAATTATGTCTCAGAATCAACACAAAATTTATTAGATGGTGAAATAGACGAAACACTTTCAGAAGAAGGTACTAAATTTATTCGTAAACATAAGCTTCAGTTTATTGACGATGGAGATTATCCATGTATATTACTTTCACCTCCTCTTGATTCTGAAAAATTCAAAAAAGCACTGAAAAATGTAACATATGCAACAAATACGATTAAGAAAGAAGACCATGATATTTACACAAATTATTATTTAAATAAATGCACGGGTGTTGATAAAGTTTTTGATTTATTAGATAAAATATCAAAAGAACCATTGGAACCTATAAAATTTTATGCGATTGTGGTTTCATTATTGAAGATACCAATAATGTTTCATATGAAAGAACAGCACCGAAGGAAGACGAAGTTGAAAGGTCTATACCATTCGTTATTAAGAATATAAAAGATATGAAAACGTATAAGCATTATATTTATTCATTTATTTCAGAAAAAATGGAAGCAACCCATAAAACATCTTCTCATCATTTTATAGCTATTCATACATTCCTTTTCAAAGTTGTGAAATTAAATAAGACAGGAATTAGATTTAATGTATCAGGGTACGCATTCTTGAGTAAATTAAAATGTATTCGTCACGTCGCAGATGATAAAAATTTATGTGTTCTTAATTCATTTTATGGACTTTAGCCCTGGACTCTCTGAGTCTCGGACTTTAAAAAAAATAAACTTTATTTTTATTTATTTTTATTCTTACATAAATGAACAAAAATGGAACAGCTAAAATGAATGATAATCAAATAAGAGCCGAAGGTAGAAGGTTATTTAAACGCTTCTATAACATTCCTGATGGTGTTAATCCGAAAACTCGGAGAAGTTATTTAAATGAAGCCATAGATGCATATGAAGGATTTGACATTTCATCAGAAAGTGAGAGGTTAGCAAGAATGTTAAACGTTAATATTGATTTTTATTATTGTGACCCTCAACCAGAAGACGTAGACATTAACAAGGTAGACTTTCCATTAGTGGAATCAATAATGATAGATCCAGAATTTGAAACAGTAAATATTTTATTAACACAGAGTCCATGTGGAAAACTTCACGCTGACAGAATTACAGACGTTGAAGCACTCACAGGTATAAAGTTTGCCATTTTGTAAAGAAGAAGTATATTCTATCCGTGATGATCCAGAAAGGAAAAACCAAAGAAGATTTTTAAAGCATTGTGAGAAATGTAAAGAAAATAATGGAAGATTAATTCAAGACGTTCAATTGCAAAACACACAACAACCATATGCACCACATATCACGAAACAGAAGATATATCAATGGCTATTAGCACATAATTTGCAGGAATATTATAAACCAACAAGATATTATATTACTTTTGACTTCGAAACATTAGAGACTAAAGAAGAACTTCAACTTTCTGAATGTGCAACTTTGAACGCTTACTTAAAACCATTTATGGTATCATCAACTGTCAAAATAAAGCCGCAAAGCGGCGAGGTCGTAGACCGTGATAAAACATTTACGAGGAATTTTTGCTTAACATCAAGTGATTCGTTCATCTCTGAATGGATTGAATTTTTATTTTCAACCTGTTCATTAGTTGCTAAATCAAATATTGAACAATATGAAGAATTAATGAAGTCACAAACATTAAATGAAAAACAGAAGGAAGCATTTAAAGAACTTCTAGATGAGGAATTCAATAAAGTGAATATCATAGGTTTTAATTCGGGAAAGTTTGATTTAAATTTAATTCTTCGTGATTTAAACACTGCAAAATGGAAAATAAAATCAATGCTGGGTTCATCTTCACAATTTAAGCAAATCATTGTAAAGAAAACAAACGTTCCATATGAATTGAGATTTATTGACATCAGAAATTATATAGCGGGTGGGACATTAGACCAATTCACTCAAGATTTCGGAAACAATAAAACACGTGTTAAATCCTTTTTCCCTTATCAATTCATCACATGTGAGAATTACGAAGATGAATTATATAAAAAGGAACCATTCACGAAAGATTCATTTTATTCAGCATTAACTCAAGAAACTATATCAGATAGTGATTATCAAATATATCTCAATGATGCTAAAAATTTTGAGAATAGATTAGAATATTTTATTCATTATTGCAATAAAGACGTTGAAATTATGATTGACCCAATTGATAAAATTATCGAAGAAACATTTGTTTATAAAATTGACATGCTTCATAATCTTTCTTTATCATCGAATGCTTCAATGATTCGTTACGCTTTAGCATATAAAGACTTTAATCCTAATGAAAAATATCCTGAGGAAAGATAGAATCAAGTTTTGAATTAACAAAAAAGTATTGGAAATATAAAATTGATTCATATAAGAAACAAGATGAAAAGGCGAAAAGAGATACTAAAAATAATGTTTCAACGGATGATTTTCAATACTATCACGATTTAATCCTTTCATCTAAATGCAAAATGTGTGGTAAAGCGTTTACATATGTAAATAAACCAACATTGGATAGAATCGATAATGAAAAACCACATACCAAAGAAAATTGTCAGTTAATGTGTTGTTATTGCAATGTCGTAAAATCAAATAAAGATGAAGATGTTCAACGTTTAAGAATCAATTTAAGAAATTATGCATTAAAAAATAATTTACCAATGACTTTAGATTCAGTTGAAGCTTATCACATTCTCCGTAATGGAATTACTGGTGGTTTATCAAATGTTCAACATAGAGTAAATCTTAAAGGAATCACGCACATTAATAAACTTTCATATAATCCAGAAACTAAAACTGTATCAAATGAGGACACCACCAACATTATGACTCATTTCGTTGGAGTTGACTTTAATTCATTATATCCTTCATCATTTTCATCTAATCCTCATGATTTCATTCAATATACTGACCATAAAATGTATATGCCGGGAAGATTGAATGGTGTTATCATTTGTGATACAGCAACAAAGAAAGCAAAAGCACTGGGAATATTAAAAGAAAAATACTTTATTCGTGGCTGAAGTAAAGGGTCACATTGATGAAAAATACATTAATGATTACATAAACTTTTTACCGATAATAAGAAACTTAGATATTATCACAGATGAAAAAACAATTGGCAGTTTTATGTATAATTACATGAAATCAAACAATTTACCGGTTGACCAGAAACAGAGAAAATTAACTCAGTTAGCATCAACACACAACCAATATCAACCATTTTCTTCTTATTATCTTTGGTATCTAATAGACAAATTTCATTTTATCATCGATGACATTCAATCAATTTTAACATTTACAAAAAACACTTGTTTTAATGAATTTGCGAACAAATTTATGAACGAAAGACAAAAGGCTGAATTAGAAGGAAATAAAGGAAAAAGTTTATTTTGCAAGATTTCACTTAATGGATCATATGGTTACGATGCAATGAATACACAAAATTACGCAAAGACTAAAATAATGAATGCACAGAAGGCACGCGTTGCATGTATGCCAAATAAGTTTAAAAACATAAGGGAAATAGGTGAAGATACGTATCAAGTGATGCTCAAAGATAGATTTTATAGATGTGAAACATGTTTACAAGAGGCATTCTTCACTTTAGATAATGCTAAATACTGGTATTTGGTTTTCATTTATGATTTTATGTATAAATGCATGAATGTTAATCGTTTTCATTTCATTGAAGGTGATACTGATTCATCTTATTGGGCAATCGCTGGTGATCCAAATCTTTCTAACACTCAAGCATTTCAAGCAATTGTTACTGATAAACAATTTTATGATAAAAACATTTACAAATTCGCACCTTTTGATTTCTTTTGTTTTGATGAGAAATTTAAACCTAAATTAAAGAATAAAGCTGAAGAAAAAG